GATGGAGCATAAAATGCACTCACATCTAGAAGCGAAAGGAAAGGGTGAGATGGAGCATAAAATGCACTCACCCTAGAACCCCAACCCCATTCTCACTTTCAGATCCTTGGAAWTCATGCTAAGTGGTGGAGATGTGATACATAAGCAAGCTTATGGCAATAACATACATTGTTTTGACCTAAGAAACAAAGGAAGGTATTTGAATCTGACTGCATTGGTTTGTTAAAACAATGAGTGCTTGTTTAGTCCAAGAATGTTCGGTCGGTGAAAGGCTTGTTTTCTTTACTGTTGATTTAACTTGGGATCATGAGGAATGGTGATTTGGGATCACTCTTTGACAAGTTAAAAGGGAGAAAGAAATGAAAATGGGAAGACTACCAAGTCTGGACTGAAGCATCCAATGGATCAGGCCTTATGTTGAGAGAAAGAGAGATTAAAAATCAGTAGGTAGTTTATTTTTGTTTGCTTGAGTTTTGTCTTGCCCGAGGATGGGCAAAGTTTAAGTGTGGGGGGATTTGATGAGACTAAAAAGTACCATATTTTTATCCCTAAATATTCACTCTTTTTCATTATTTTAGCACTTAATTGGACTCATTACTCTTGTATTTCGATTCAGGGCAAATAAGAAGGCGATTGGAAGAAAACAAGGCTAATCAGACGATTTTGCACAGTTTCGGCACCATTCAGTAATCTGGGCATAACTTAATTGGACTCAGATTTGGATGATTTAAGATGCACTAGAAAGATGAGGGGTAGGCCCACAACTTTTCTGTTTTGGGTTTTGACAGATTCGGTCCGCATCAGAGACGAAATTGGACCCGAAGTCGGAGCAAGTTCGCAGCAAAGCCCATTCACAGCTGAAGCCCAATTCGCAGAAGAGCTTTCCTTGTAGCAGCCCAAGTTATTAAAGCAGCCAAACTCGAGTTCAAGAGCCAAGAGTTCCAATTTCAAATGTAATCTCCAGGAAGAGAGTCTTATCAGATTTAAGTTTTGAATATAATCCTAGAAAGATAAGATGATTGAGATTATCACTAGATAAGAGATAGGATAGGATTAGTTCAAAACAGATAAGGACTTTCTTAATTGATGTTAATCTCCTAAAAAGAGTTGGAAAGCATCCCTCTCCCTCAGCTATATAAAGGGTGGGGGGGTGGACTAGCCTTACTCACTCAATCAATCAAAAAAATCCATCAATCAAGTATCAAGCAACTCAATCAATCAAGAAAGATCAGTTCAGCCTTCTGAGAAGCAGAGCATGGAGGATTCGAAAATCATGAGCAGTTAAACTTTTCTTTTCTGGTTCAAGGGGGGATGTTCGATTGTGTCATCGTGAGGTTCAGTATTTAATTCGAGTTCTTGCTTTTTAATTCAAGTATTCATTGATTCTTGTGCTTATTCTCTATGGATGTTAATGTTAATTAGTCTGACAAATTAATTAATATTGATTTTCCTACTGCTATCCATGGTTCGGTGATCCGTAATTGTCACGAATAGTGGTACAAGTAGCAATTAGGTTAATATCTTTCTGGGTCAATTGTTCGTGATAGCCTTTGACCAATGTATTGACATGTTTTAACTTAAAGAGAATCAATGGAACAAGATTCGATAATTGCATCTATCTCAATTATTGTTATTTTGGTTTAACTGTTTTCACAAAGTTTAATGCTATTACTAGTTAATATGGAGCGCTATCGTACCCAGTCGATAGTGATAAGTGTTGATTGAAAGCTGGGTTTGGTCAGCTGATTTAGGAAAACACAAGGTTTATTATGGTTATCCTAATAAATCTAAGGTTAAATGCTTGAATTGCAAGACTGTCAAAGTCTACCTAGGATCGATGACCAATTGATTAAATCCGAACCCTTGAATTAGAATTCGGTAAGACTGATTTCTCTTAAGTTGATATTGCTCTCTTGATTCTTTTTGAATTTTAATTATTTAATTTTCCCACTCTTTATATTGCACACTCGGCTGAGAAATTATTTCCCTAGCTTCCTATGGGATTCGACCTATTACCACTACTACTACAAATTTATTGTTGGACTAGCATTAATTTTGAGTGCTTCGACAACCCGTCATCTAGGGTGTCCATTGACCTTTCTCTCTCTCTCTCTTTTTATTTTTTTGCAGACACAGTTCAAAGTAGTCCACTATCTCTAACAATTTTGAAGAACTTTTGTCTAATTTCTCAATCTTTCTCTTTTTACCTTTACAGGGGCAAACTTGAGAGTATTTTCCAATTTCTAAACGGTTTTGACAATACTCAAATGAGACCAATTTTGACTCCTATCACTTGCTACCAATTTCTACAAAATTCAATATTTTTTTATCAGTTTCCCCAACTTTTTCTGTTTGGGAATCTCTTTTAATGGAAAAAAATTTAAAAAATTTTCAGTGAAATTTTAATTTTGAATATTTAAAGGCTTAACTTCTCTTTTTTAGGTTGATGCACAAAGGACTTGGGCCAAAGGGAACAACCAATAGGGTTTTCTTGAGGGGTTCAAGGTTTGCCACCTGGTCTCGGAAAAAAAAAAAGAAACTCAAATCCTAACAGCAGAAGAATTAAAAATTATGTTGGGTTGCCTCCCAACTAGCGCTAAGTTTGACGTCTTCAGCTATACGCATTTACTCATTTCTTCCATCCAGACTCTCTAACTCACTTTCTTCTTCATACCAACAGGGCTTATATTGGACTAACTAGGGGGTAGACAAGTCATCCACAAGATTATCCACTATATCCACATTGAACTCCTTCCTCTAGGTTTGGATACTTAGAGGCACTAAAAACATTCAACTGGACCTTCTGCTCCCCAAATGAAATGTCCATTTCCCCCGATTTACAGTTAATGTTTGCATTGGCCATTGCTAGAAATGGTCGTCCTAGGATTATCGGGTTATGGTTTAGTTCCTCGGTTGGGGTCATGTCTAGGACAACAAAGTCTATAGGGAAATAACAATTCTCTATCCTGACAATGACATCCTCGATAACACCTTGAGGAGTCTTGACCGACCGATCAACGAGTTGCAGAATTATCGGGGTAGGTTTTAACTCGCCGATCCTGAACCTTTCATAGATAATGAACGGAAGCAGATTGACACTGGCCCAAAGATCTAATAGGGCCCGATCAAAGGTGATTCCAGAGATGACACAGCTTATGAGAGGAGCACCCGGGTCTTTCATTTTCTGGGGGAATTGGTTTAGGAGGACCGCACTAACATCCTCCAAGAGCATCACTTTTTGTGGGGTCAACTGTGGCTCCCTCTTTTGAGTGCATAGCTCTTTCAGAAACTTGGCGTAGGGCAGGACATGTTGAGTCGCATCAAGGAGAGGGATGTTAATATGTTTGAAGAGTTCCTTGATTTCCTCATTGTGAATCTCTTTCTTTTTCCGCAACGGCCTAGCTGTGAGTGCGGTTAGAAAGGGGACCACAAGTTGGTTCACTAAAGGTTCTTCTTATAAAGTTTCATTTCCTTCTTCTTCTCCCCCCAACTTAGGGCCTTCCTGCTCCTTTTCTTCTTCTTCAATTTGCTTCTTCTCATACGGATCTTCTAAAATTCTCCCACTCCTTAGGGTTGTAACAACTTTAGCATTTTTAAACTAGGGCTTTTTAGGAAGTGGTTGAATTTGTGGAGGAAAACCTGGTGGTTGATTCCTAGAGTTTGTAACCGGTTGATTCAGTAACTGCCCCACTTCTCTCCTCGCATTAGCTTCGGCTAACTGTCCTATTTGGCTTTCTAACCTAGCAATGGGTTACTGCTGATTTAGGACCAACTACTGAAGTTGCATGAATTGATCATCTACTAAACGGGATTGCGGAGGTTGTGGGTAACCCTGATATGGTTGGGCCGGTTGGTTCCTAGGGTACACCTACTGGAACTGACTCTGTACTGGTGGCCTCTGAAACTGCTAGGCCATAGAGTTAGACGTATGATGATATTGCTGGGACTGTGAATTGGGTTGATGTGTCCTCCAAGAAAAGTTAGGGTGATTTCTCCACCCAGGGTTGTAAGTATTTGAATATGGATCATTGTTGGGCCTTGAGAAACTCTAGGCTGCCAGAACTTGTTCTTGGATAAAAGGCGAAAACTGGGCTACCGTGGAACAGTCATCAACCTGGTGGGTCGGGCTGGCACAAATGGAACACACTTCGGGATAGGATGTAGATGGGTTTGATTGCTGGTTAAAGGTGAAAAACTAATCAAACTTCTAGGCTAGAAGATCTACCCTGTCCAACTTTCTAGAAAGGGCATTCAAGTCCATTTTTGCCTCGGGCTCTATATTATTCCTAACCTCATAGAGCCCCTACCCTCTTTGAGGGTTCATAGGAATACAAGGATGCATTGTTAATGGAATTCTCACTCAAGGTCTCGAAAAGAGCATACGCTTCATCCTCGCTTTTGCTCATAAATGCACCCCCACAAGATGCATCAACCATTTGCCTGTATTGATCTATCAAACCTTCATAGAAGGCTTGGACAATTTGCCATTGGGACAGGCCATGGTGTGGGCATTTTCTCATTAACTTCTTCATCCTCTCCTAAGCCTCATGAATTTGTTCACCCAGTGTTTGGGTGAATCCAGTGATGGCTCTTCTCATGGTATTGGTTTTGTCTATAGGATAGAACTTTCTAAGGAATTCTTGTTGCATTTCTGCCCAAGTTCTAATGGGTGTCTCCCTATAGTTCCTAACCAGTGCTTGGCCTTATCTTTCAAGGAGAAGGGGAAGAGAGTCAGTCTAAGGGCATCATCATTGAAGTTCTGGATCCTTACAGTGGAACATATTTCCAGAAACTCGTCTATGTGCTTGTATGGGTCCTCACTCAAGTTCCTATAGAAAGAAGGGAGCATCTGGATTGTGCTTGACTTAATCTCATACTGTAAGGCCTGAGTATCTGGCAACTGTATGTAGGATGAATGGTTATATTGGGTTAGAGTGAAGTATTCCTTCAGCTTTCCGGGTTGGGCATCACTGATTCTAGCCATTTGGTTGCATTGTTTGTGATGGAGGTATCTCTCTATTTTGGGTATGGGTTCTACAGTTTCTCTCCTTAGAGATCTCCTTTCCAACATACAACTTAGAAGTCCCTTTTTCTTTTTGTTGAAATTTGAAATTTAAATTTCGAACTTAATTTCAAATTTGGATTTTGAAATTTATATTTTGAATTTAATTTCAAATTTGGATTTTGAAATTTAAACTCAAATTTTTTAATTTTTTCTTTTTTATGTTTTTTTTTTTATTTTTTTAATTTTTATTTTTTTTTGAAATTTGAAATTTAAATTCAAATTCAGATTTTGAAATTTAAATTCCTAAAATTCAAATTCAAATTTGAATTTTTGAATTTAAAAAAAGTGCAAGCAAATCAACCACGCAACCTAGGGGTTGACCTAGGGTTTCCTAAACTAGTGGTTCAACAAATGTGAATCCTCTTAGGTTCCCTTGGAATTACACCACTTCCTTTGGTTAGCCAGGTAAGAGGTGAGGATGTGGGAGGCTCCCCTTGCTCTTGCAAGGACCTAATTAAGTAACAACAAAACCCGCTTAGGCGTAGCCGTTTAACCTCTTTCCTTAGACACCAACCGCCGGTTATGGAAAGTAATTACAAGCTTTCCTAAAATTCAACACACCTTTGAACCAAATGTGAAACTCCCTAAAGGATCTTGCTATCCAAATTTTAAACTAGGGTTAGGGTGAACCACACGTGAAGGATGGTAACTTTTGGGCCAAGGAAGGGTGATGAAATCCCCACCTTATCTTATTTAAGTTGGGTGCCCTTAAATGGATTAACGAAACAAAAACAATCAAACAAAATGAATGCAACTAATTACAATGCATGAACAATTATTTCTAAAATGCAATTCAACAATATAAGATAAAAGAATAAAACAAACTAATTAAGCAAAAGGAATAATTAAAATAGTAAAAAGAAGAAAACCTAACACATTCACAACTAACAAGATGATTTCAACAATTAAATAAACCTATAAGATGCATGCTCTAGAATATGAAACCTTAAATGTTGGAATGCAAATGCAAGAATTTTAAAATATTAAACAAATTTTTTTTCGTTTTATTATTTTATTATTTTTTACTTATTATTATTTTTTTCATTTTTTGAAATTCAAATTCAAATTTAAATTCAGATTTTAATTAAAATTAAAATTCAAATTCAGATTTGAATTAAAATTTAAATTCAAATTCAAATTTGAAAATTAGGACAATATCCTAGTTAACAATTAATTATTCAATTAAATAAGAGCTCAAAAATCACTATTCTACCAAAAAAAAGAGTTCAAAAATAAAAATCAAAAATCAAAAATAAAATGGGACGACTATACCTAAAATGCAATCAAATTTCTCTTATCTTGTCTTTTCTTCTATAGTTTGGTAATGCTCTGGTACCCCACCTTTCGCTATTATGTCATGCAAAATCAAAGAGAAACAAGAATTAAAATGAGATTACAAATCAAGTAAACAACGAAAATAAAAAAAAAAATAATGAAATAGATCCGGACAAAGCAAATAAAAAATTTTCTCCGTTGCTTCCTCGACAATGGCACCAAAAACTCGGTGTCTCCGGAAGCGTGTCGTTAAGCACTTTGGAACACTAGTTTAACATTTATAAAATTTTTCCGATTCTCAAACAACTACAAACACAGTAAAATGGTGAGGACGGGTCATATCCATAGGGAAGTAAGAGAAAAACCATTACGTAGTTAGATTCGGGAAAGAGAACACAAGTGGGAAATAGAATTCAAACATTATCAAAAATTAAAAATGTAGAAAAATAAATAGATACATATATAAATAAATAAAAGAAACTAATTAAAATGTCTATAATCCGATCAGAGGTAGTAGTTTCCGGATCTCTCCTTTGACCCTCGAACTTCTCAAGCTAGGCCTTCCATCTTACTTGGCCGAATTCCAGATCTATAGAAAAGGAAATGAAATTTAAACGGAATAAAAGTAAATTGCAAAAAAGAAAAATGGAACTGGAAATTAAAGAACAAAAATTAAATCTAAGACTAATGTAAATTGGTTGGGATCCAAATCCAGAGGTGGCATAGTGGTGTTGGCAAACTGCAAGTAGGAACCCCTCCTCTTGCTTGGGCATCCTCCTCTTCCTGTACCCTTGAATTTCTCAAGATCAGCTTTCTGCCTTACCTAGGGACAGAATCCAATCCTTTCTTAGGAGCCCTTGGATCCTTTTTATAGAGAAGGGCGGCAACTGGGTTTTAGCAAATATATGGACGCCCTAGGGTTTCTAATGAAGGGTTAGGATGGTTTTGAGATGATCCTAAGGCTGAGAAAAAATAAGAGGGTGCCCAATATTATGTAGTAGGGCTGAGATTTGGGAGCCTAGAAATAGATGGTGGAGATTGAGGCACCTAGGGCTGAAAGGTGGAGATTAAAAGAGGTGGGTGGTGCCCTAGAGTTTAAAAGCTACAAGAAGAGTGCCCTAGAATGAGTTGTGGAGATTAGAAGGAGTGGAGGGTGGAGATTAAACAACTGGGGGCGGCTAGTGTTTGCTAAGGAGGAAAAGAATAGGTTAAAAGGCGCCCTCCTCCCCTCTCTTAGTTGGACTTCACACCAGCTTCCCAAAAATTGCAATTTAACCATGAAACCTTCTCGGTTTTGCACAGAGACCACCAGAGGTCACAACATTGAAATTAACTGGGAAAATGACACAATTTGACTATTTTAAGGCCAAAAATACCCCTGAAGTGATGCCCTCAGGGCATCAAAATGCAAAGTTATCATAGCTGAGGGAGATGTCCTCTCTTGTTAGGCAAAGTTTCATCATTATGAGCTAAGAGGTTAAGTGTAAGACCATTGAGGGTTATACTTGATGGGCTAATCTTGCATCTGCCTACAATCCTTGGGCCTTCATATGGTGGCTGGACCCAATGACCATTTAGTGTAAATGTTGGTTCCATTAAGAGCCCATATTGATGGACTTAGGGGTTCACTGTGTTCTGCAGTGAATTTGGTTAGGCCTTGTAACAAAGGCTGGGCTGAACCCATGTAACTGATGCGTAGATCAATGCTAGGGTTCCAATAGAGTCGGATTTCTCTTCTCTAATACACCGTTTAATTGTGGTGTAGCAAAAGGATCTAGTTGTGATACAATCCCATTGTCCTTTAAGTAGTTCCTGAATTCGTCGAAGAGATATTCGCCTCCTCGATCTGATCAAAGGGCCTTAATCTGTCTCCCCAACTGTTTCTCAACTCTTGTCTGAACTCCTGGAACTTTTCAAAGGATTCAGACTTGTGTCTCATTAGGTACACGTAACCATACTGAGAGAAATCACCAGTAAATGTTAAGAAATAAATGTGTTGGTTGTGTGCCCTAACATTCATGGGACCACATACATCAGTATGTATTAGGTTAAGCGTGTCCATATATCTTTCAGGCTTTCTCGTAAATGGTTGTTTCATCACCTTACCCTGAAGGCAAGGTTCACAAGTTGGAAGATCTTCTACAGTTAGAAAATCCAAAGGACTTTCCTTTACCAACCTTGTGATACAATCTATATTAATGTGGCCAAGTAGGTAATGCCATAGGCACGTGGGATTTAACGTATCACGTATTATTTTCTTGGGGATTATTTTCGGTGTAGTTTTGGTAACATTTGTTTCTAGAGAAAGGATGGAGAACATAGAGACTATTCTCCAGCTTTCCATAGGTGAGGAATTTGTTATTCACTTTAATAGTAATCATATTACTGAACAAAATAGAATAACCATCCTGGCACAACTTTGAAACTAAAATAAAATTTCTTCTTAATGTTGGTACATAAAGACAATCTTTAAGTACAATAATGCCTTCTCTAAAAAATAACTCTATTGTTCCTATGGTTGTAGCAACAACTGTTGCAGAAGTCCCCAAGTAAAGTACTACTTCTCCATCACTCAGCCTTATGCTTGTCTTGAACCCCTGCAATGTGTTACATGCATGAGTAGAAGCCCTAGAGTCAATACACTAGGATGCAAAAGTAACCAACAAATTGGTTTCTATGACAAAGGATTCGAAATTACCTTACTTCTTGGTCTCAAGATACTAAGGACAATTCCTCTTCCAATGGTCGGTCTACTTGTAGAAAAGACAGACATATGATGTCTTGTCCTTCTTCTGCTTTTTAGGTTTGTCAACTTTCTTCTAAGCCTTCTTCTTAGTCTTCATCTTTTTCTTGTTCGTTTTGCCACCTTCAACAATCTTGGAAATCGGCTTGTCCTTCTTAATCAATTCCTCAGCCCTCTGCAATATATTGGTGAGTTCCTGAAGGCTAACCTAGCTTATTCATGTTGCAATTCATGATAAACTGATTAAAGGAGGCAGGCAAAGAGTTTAAGACGATATCAATTTTAGTGTCATCATCTAGCCCAGAACTGAGAGCCTCCAGTTCATTGATATAACCCATCATCTTTAGACAATGGTCATGAACTTGTTGGTTTTCAGTCATTTGTGTGGTCATAAATAGCTTTAGAACCTTCTATCGAGTAAAACGATTTTGCTCTTCATACATGATCCTTAGACTATCCATGATATCCTTGGACACTTCAATCTTATTGATTGTCTTTGTATTGGATTGTCTAAGGAGAATATAATGTAACACCGGGCAAGAGATTTCTTTTCCTTCCAATATTGATACTCTTTCTTACGAGCCTCGGAAGCCCTATCACCCGGACGCTCCAGTGTAGGGTTTTTGGCTACCTTGTCCAATTTCTCGGACGTCAATACTAGCATACGGTTACAGAACCAATCAGCGTAATTTGGACCCTTAAGCTTATTATCGTCCAAAAATTTTGCGAATTATCTGTTTTCCATTTCTGATAAAAGGCAATGCAAATTATTAGTCCACAACCTAAATTGATTCATGTTATTTACATAGAAAAGGCTTTTAATCTATGTTTCATTTCCATTTCTTTGTCTCTGAGATTTCCCTCCCATCTCAGTAATGGAGACGCAGTTACGTCTCTAGAA